CTGCTGGGTGTGGCCAACTTGGGAGCCAGCCGGAACTCCGTTCCTGTGCGTTCCTGCCCAAAAATAGCCCTGAATAAAAGTATAACCATTCTTGAATGTGTGTACCTTGTTGTTAGCTGTGGGTTCTGACACTCCTGTGGCAGGGAGTTCCATGTGTTATGGAAGAGAACGAAACGAAAAGGCCTCGACCAGTTCAGTTCAGACTGTCGTACAGAACTGCCCCGTCTCACTTATAATCCTGCCACACCAGAGCTGCTGCCCTGAAGGTCTCTCCTCGCTCTTTCCGCAGGAACAAGCTGTACAGCGGCTCTGCGGACTGCACCATCATCGTAAGTTGGCCGGTTTCTGTTCGGCAGCGGGCCTCCCCCTCTGCGCCGCAGAGAGACTGTCGAGGAATTTCGACATGGTGTCCTCTCCCCCTCTCTCCCCTCGCAGGTCTGGGACATTCAAAACTTGCAGAAGGTGAACACCATCCGCGCCCACGACAACCCAGTGTGCACACTGGTCTCCTCACACAACATGCTGTTCAGCGGCTCCCTGAAAGGGGGGGGGGGGGGGGATGGAGTCTTCAGTCCCCACTGGCTTCCCACCTGGCAAATCTGGCCTTTCAGTCCCCACTGGTTTCCCCGGCCGGTTCCTGCAGTACTTTCTAATCTAATGGCCTAAGCTAAATGCTGTGTGCTTTTTTAATGATAAATATTCAAATATCAAGTCTAAGTGGGGTTTTTTTGGTTTTGTACTATGAACCATTCATAAGTATCCTAATATCCAATTTTCTATTGTTTCATACATTCACAGTGGGGGAAAAAGACAATAACATAAACCAATCACAAGATAAGAAGCTCTTGGATTACAAGACGGGGGTGGATATCTGCAAAGTCACCGAAGTGGAAAAAGGTCCCTTTTAAGCAATGGTATCAATATAGAAATAGGAGCTGCGGTGGCTCAAGTGGTTAAGACAGAGGCTGAAAAACTGTGAGCTAGCTCACACTAGGAGCTGTGGTGACTCAAGTGGTTAAGACGCTGAACTGCAGGCTGTGGAAGGTCGGTAGTTCAGCAGTTCGAGACCCGAGTGTGCCGCATGACGGAGTGAGCTCCCATCTCTAGTTCCAGCTCCTGCCAACCTAGCACTTCGAAAGCAAGAAATTGCAAGTAGATAAATAGGGACCCCTTCGGTGGGAAGGTAACAGCGTTCTGTGCGACTTGGTGTTTAGTCATGCCGGCCACATGACCACGGAAATGTCTTCGGACAGCGCTGGCTCTTCGGTTTGGAAACGGAGATGAGCACCGCAACCCTAGAGTTGGATTCGACTGGCTTTCGAGCAAGGGAACCTTTACCTTATCAATACAGACCTTGAACCAGAGCAATATTGTCAAAAGCCGTGGAACGTCCACTGTGTGACGAAATGAGCTTGGTAAGGCTTAAGAACGCCACAATATGTCCACTCTGTGAATTAAACAACTACTCTCCAAATTGAACCACTGCTAACGCAGATCCCAGGTATCTCCAGACAGGTGTGGCAACCCTTAAACTCTGTGAATTGAACTACTGCTAACGCAGATCCCAGGTAGTCTCAGGCGTTTTGTTTCTTCATCAGAGAATATCATTCATGCAGTCTTCCTTTGACCATTCTATACTGGAGCTTATATCATTAAACATCAAAAACTGTTTACACCTCTGAGGAGCAACAGAGGTTCAAAAACCCGTGAGGAATAGTCTCAAACTCTAAAGCTCTTTCACTTTGGAGGCTTTGTAAATACACACGCCAGTCCTGTAATCTGTGAGCTCTCTGTCTTGTGATTGGTTTATGTTATTTTTTCCCCCATTGCATATGTATGAAAATAATAGAACATTGGATATCAGGATACTTATGAATATTTCATAATACAAAACCCCCCACTTAGACTTGATATTTGAACATGTATTGTTACAAAAGCATACAGCATTTAGTTTAGGCTATTAGATTAGATTTCCCCAGTACGGCTGCCGGTCTTTCTGTCTTCACCCTCTGACCGCAGACAGCAGTTTTTGGATTTGTCGAATGCCTGCCACTGTTTTTACCCCAGGCCTTTCCCTTCTTCTCCCTACCCTTCCACGCCCTTGGTCTGTTTGGCCCACAGATCGAGCAACACCCCCCCCCAATGTTCCCTCTAAGCTGTGGAGCCCTGTGAGCAAAAATTCTACTTTGTGAGCTGCTGGCATTAAAGTTGCGAGCGGGTGATTTGGCCACTGCATAAATTAGTCTGCTCTGGAGCCATCCCTTCCTGTGCTAAGACAAAAATGTGTGAGCCAGAGGCTGAAAAACTGTGAGCTAGCTCACACTAGGAGCTGTGGTGACTCAAGTGGTTAAGACGCTGAACTGCAGGCTGTGGAAGGTCGGTAGTTCAGCAGTTCGAGACCCGAGTGTGCCGCATGACGGAGTGAGCTCCCATCTCTAGTTCCAGCTCCTGCCAACCTAGCAGTTCGAAAGCAAGAAATTGCAAGTAGATAAATAGGGACCACTTCGGTGGGAAGGTAACAGCGTTCCGTGCGGCTTGGTGTTTAGTCATGCCGGCCACATGACCACAGAAACGTCTTCGGACAGTGCTGGCTCTTCGGCTTTGAAACGGAGATGAGCACCGCAACCCTAGAGTCGGACTCGACTGGCTTTCGAGCAAGGGGAACCTTTACCTTTACCTTTTTAGCTCACACTAACTCAGCTTAGAGGGAACACTGCCCCCCCCCCCGATTCTACCATGTTGCCATTCATTTCCCCAGTTCAAAGCAACGGGGACGGGGGGACGGGCTTAGAACGTGAGAAGAACCCTGGTGAATTGGACTACTGAGAGGGGTCCATCTAGTCCAGCCTCCTGTCTCACACGGGGCCAGCCAATCCCTCTGGAGGTTTAACAACAGGGCCTAGAGGCTGACGCTGAGGCCTTCCTCTGACGCTGCCTCCTGGGACTGGGATTCGGAGGCTGACTGCCCCTGAATGTGGAGGTTCCCTTTAGTTACTCTAGCTAGTAGCCACTGATAGACCTGTTCTCCACGAATGCCTGTGGCCATCGCTGCATCCTCTGGCAGCGAATTCCACATTTTAATCTCCCCTCGAGTACAGGAGTATTTATTTTTGTCTGTCCTGAACCTACTGGTATTTTGGGTGAGGAAAGAAAAGCGTCCCTTGCCTACTCTTCCTGCCCCGTTTGTTCTGTGTGTGCAGCATGGCTCAGTAGCTTGAGACAGCTGCAGCTGTCTTCTCTGCGGCGTCCTGAAGGACACTGTAATGATTTCATGTTTAACTGTGTGTGTGTGTGTGTGTTTAAAGGTTTGGTTGCATGGCGATGAGAGATAGTCTAGGGTGGTTGAAACAGGCAAGTGGTGTGATTGGTGATTGGCAGAAAGGGGGAGGGGTTTTGGAAGTGATGCTGTGTGGATGATATTTATGTCTGTCAAGAGTGACAGTTAGAGTTGGGACAGTTGAAAAAGACAGTTGTTAAGTCAGTTAAGTTCTGTCTCTGAGAGAAGGAGACACATCCCTGTGTGGGATAATTTGGTTCTGTGTATGAAAAGAGTGAAGCAGTCTTGTATGATATAAGAGTTCTGAGTTAAATATTTGTGTGTGAAAGGAGAGACATTCAGTTCTGTGTTATAGGAGTTATAAGCTGAAAGCTGAGAGTCTAGGAAACAGTAAAGGTTATATGGACTTGAAGGAAAAGTGTTACTAAGTTACCTATGAAAAATCCCTGTCAGTAGGGAGCAAACTGTGTGTTATACCTACTTTACTAGTTACATGGTTCTACCCTCGTATTTATGCTTTATTTAAATAAATCCTATTTCATTCAAGTATACCAGCTCTGAAATAAATACATCCTGAGGAACACAAAGTCCCTTGAAAGCCTAAAGACCCGACCTACCTACCCAGTAGAAAAAAATATTATATTATAAAGGTTTGGAAAGCCTTAAAATTTCCTGGTGGCAGCCGGATATACAGAGTAAAACAAAACAGAAAGAACATTTTAAAGTAAAACCAGACCTCCCCAGTTAAGGGGTCGTCACAGACACGCTGTGCTATAACCTGACCTCGGGTTCACCCGTGCATACCTCTGCCCACCTTTGAACGGGAGGCTTCTAACAGAGGTCCTCATGCCCCTGTTGAAGGCACGCCCGGTTATTCCTTCCTCCAGGTCTGGGATATCGTGGGCACGGAGCTGAAGCTGAAGAAGGAGCTGACAGGCCTTAACCACTGGGTCCGGGCGCTCGTGGCGTCCCAGAATTACCTGTACAGCGGGTCCTACCAAACCATCAAGGTCTGTATGTTCCTGGTTCCTCCCTCCGGCCTTCGACTGTCCGGAGCCACGTACCAAAGGATGGCAAAAGCCTCTCTGGGAATTGCCCTCTCACCTTCTGCTTTTGCCGCCTAGATCTGGGACATCCGGAACCTGGAGTGCGTGCACGTCCTGCAGACCTCGGGTGGGAGCGTCTACTCCATCGCGGTCACCAACCACCACATCGTCTGCGGCACCTATGAGAATCTCATTCACGTAAGGGAGGGCGAGGCGCGAGGGCGCCGCCTCGGGCGTTGACCGTCTCGCAGACAGCCAGGGGTTTTCCAGCGGCCATCGGGAGTCCCTCGCTGTGTTCTCTTCTCAGCAGACCTGAGGAGGAGCTGCTGGGAGAGCCGGCGTGTTCAGAAGTTGACACTTATAGAATCATAGAGTTGGGAGGGGCCTCCAGGGTCATCTAGTCCGACTCCCTGCACAATGCAGGGAATTCACAAATACCTCCCCCCCACACCCCAAACCACACCCAGTGACGCCTGTTCCATGCCCAGAAGATGGCAAAAGACCTCCAAGATTTCCAGCCAAAGTGGCCTGGAGAAAAATTGCTTCCTGGTTCCAAAGTGGCGATCAACATTTCCCTGGGTGTGCTAGAAAGGGCCACAAGCAGTGCTGCCTCTAAGCTGTGGAGTCCTGTGAGCAAAAATTCTACTTTGTGAGCTACTGGCGTTGAGGTTGTGAGCGAGCGATTTGGCTGCTGCATGAATTACTTTGCTCTGGAGCCCTCCTTCCTGAGCTGAGGCAAAAGTCTGAGCTGGAGGCTAAAAAACTGAGCTAGCTCACACTAACTCAGCTTAGAGGGAACACTGGGCACAAGAACTAAGCCCTGAGGCCACCCTTCTGGCCCTCCCTTCTCGTGATCTGCCCAAGTCCACAGAATCCGCATTGCTGTCAGATGGCCACCTAGCCTCTGTTTGAAAACCTCCGAAGAAGGAGAGCCCACCCCCTCCTCCCGAGGAAGCCTGTTCCCCCAAGGGACCGCTCTAGCAGTCAGGAAGTTCCTCCTAACATTTGGCCGTGCTTGATCCGTGCGTCCTTTTCTTGCAGGTGTGGGACATCGAATCCAAGGAGCAGGTGCGCACGCTGACGGGACACGTGGGCACCGTGTACGCCCTGGCCGTCATCTCCACGCCTGACCAAACCAAAGTCTTCAGCGCTTCGTACGACCGATCCCTGCGGGTACGGGGGGCCTCCTTATCCAAGGGACAGGGGGCGGGGGGGTGGAAGGCTGCGTGGGAGAGGAAGAAGCTTAGGCGCTGTTCTGAGGACGCGGGGCGAATATTCATCCTTCCTGTCTGGTTGGCGTATGGAAGTGTCCCCCAGCTGAGGATTGGCCTGTTTCGGGAGGGGCAGCAAAGGCTTAGGCACATGACCCCACCTCCCCCTGCAGTTGTTCAGTTGCAGTTTTCTCCGGTTCACACGGGGCAGGGGAGCAAGGGGCCAGGCCTGCCGACTCCACGACCCGGTGCCCCAAAGGGCAAGCCCGATTTGGGTGTGCCGAGAAGCCAAGCCCGAAGCCCTCAGTTCAGCCCCTTCGGGAGCACCGGACGCGTCGGGAAACGGCGTTGTGCTTTGGGAAGTCACCCAGGTGTCGAGGACGGGGCCGTATTTACCGATGGCCAAGCAGATCCTCGCCTGGGGCCTCCAGAACCATCCCAGGGAGGTCCTGTGCAAAAATTGTCCCCAAGGTGATTCTCGTGGGTGAATGTTATAGAAAACCCGGGGGCCTAGAAAGAGTTGCCTTGACTTGGGTGGCCCAGGCAAGCCCGATCTCGTCAGGTCTCGGAAGCCAAGCAGGGTCAGCCCCGGTTGGCACTCGGATGGGAGGCCACCGAGGAAGTCCGGGGTTGCTACGCAGAGGCAGGCAAAATGGCAAAACACCTCTGAAGGCCTCTCGCCTTGAGAACCTGTTGTTAAACATTAGATTCCATGTCAAAAATGAAGTCAAACGAGGAGGAAGTTCTTGTATTTTATTGTAATGAAATATGGGAAACAGTTAGGCCAAAGGACCCATCAAAACTGACGGCTTTCTTCTCAGCATAATCAGGAAACAGGCCTCAATCAATAGGAAAACAATTAGACCAAATAGTTAACCAGAAATTGACAACTTTCTTCTTTTTCTTCATCTTCTTCTTGAGCATATTCTGAACACATTCAGGAAATACATGATATTTTATACATGGACTGACATCATCATCATGGGAATAATATTCAAAAGGCATAATTGGTTACAAAAACTTAAACAACATTTACATTAAAATCTCCTTATTGGTCAAATGTAAGAAAGGTGTGTCTATGCAATGGCGTCACATATTTGCTTGACGTGACCTAAGGCATATCGGCTAAAGCTTGTTCTTCCCCAAACAAAAGTATTCATTACTGATACGAGACTAAAATCCTATCTGACCCAGACATTGAAAGGTTTGCCCTAAGAACTACAGAATCATGAACTTTGTACCGATTATGTTGCTAACAATATCAGACCTACAAGAGGAAAGCCTTCTATATAACAGGCCTTTCTAACATCCTAATAAAATATTACTTAAAGAATAAATCTATAAAAACCAGATAAATATGAATATGAACAATCAAGAAGGAAAAACCTATATATGAAAATCTTTATATTCCCATTCATACTACAAACCCCACCGGGGTCCCCGTAAAGCAGCTGTGACTGAACGGCACTCTTCACCCACCCCCGGAAAGAGTTAGGAGAGCGACTGTCTTGATCCTAATCCTCTCTCCCCCGTCACAATATCGTATCGGCTCTTACAGAAGCCTGAGCAGACCCATCACTCCATTGCTGAATGTTCCTTGCACATTTCCTCGTAGCCGAAGCTCCCTCGCTTTCTGGCTCCCCTTCCTCCTCGAGCGCGCTTCCCCTTTCTCGGGGCCCGTTCTGGTCTCGAACGGGCCTCGACACCCTTGAACGGAAGCAGAGGTGGGCAGAGCCTCCTCATGGCAGCCCTGAACGTCTCTCTGGGTCCCTCAGTCCCTGCCGTGGTGTTTGTTTGCAGTCAGTGGCTCTCAGCTACGAGGTCTACATGGAACACACGGTCTGGGGCAGTGGGGCTCTGTCTTCTTGGTGCTTGGGGGGGGCAAGAGCGGGAGGGCTTCTGGAGTCCTGGCCCCGCTGGTGGACCTCCTGATGGCCCCTGGGTTTTGGCCACTGTGTGACACAGAATGTTGGACTGGAGGGGCCACTGGCCTGATCCAACATTGACTTTTCTTACATTCTTACATGTGGGGCAGTGATGCGCTATCTTCTTGATGCTTGGGGGGGGTGGACTTCCTGATGGCCCCTGGGTTTGGGCTGGTGGACCTCTTGATGGCACCTGGGTTTGGGCTGGTGGACCTCTTGATGGCCCCTGGGTTTGGGCTGGTGGACCTCTTGATGGCACCTGGGTGTTGGCTGGTGGACCTCCTGATGGCCCCTGGATTTGGGCTGGTGGACCTCTTGATGGCACCTGGGTTTGGGCTGGTGGACCTCTTGATGGCCCCTGGGTTTGGGCTGGTGGACCTCTTGATGGTACCTGGGTTTTGGCTGGTGGACCTCTTGATGGTACCTGGGTTTTGGTTGGTGGACCTCCTGATGGCCCCTGGGTTTTGGCTGGTGGACCTCCTGATGGCCCCTGGGTTTTGGCCACTGTGTGACACAGAGTGCTGGACTGGATGGGCCACTGGTCTGATCCAACAGGGCTTCTCTTCTGTTCTTATGTCTGGAGCAAGGGATGCTCTGTCTTCTTGGTGCCTGGGGGGGGGCAACAGTGGGAGGGGCTTCTAGTGTCCTGACCCCACTGCTGGACCTCCTGATGGCCCCTGGTATTTTCGGCCCCTGTGTGACACAGAGTGTTGGACTGGAGGGGCCACTGGCCCGATCCAACATTGGCTTCTCTGATGTTCTTACGCTGCCTGTTGTGTTTCCGCTCGCAGGTGTGGAGCATGGACAACATGATCTGCACCCAAACACTCCTGCGCCACCAGGGCAGCGTCACAGCACTGGCCGTCTCCAGGGGGCGCTTGTTCTCGGGCGCCGTTGACAGCACAGTTAAGGTAAGCCCCACCCCACTCCCTGTTTGCGTAGGGGGGGGCGGAACAAGGGGAAACCAGGGCGGATGACCGCATGGCTTCCCTGAAGTCCTTGTGCCTGGGAGAGGCTGACCCATTCGGAACCTCTGTGCTGGCCTTACATCCCCCTCAAAGAATTTCACACGTGCCTCCAGACATAGTGTGTGATTTTAACTGAAACGCTCTTGGTTGTGCCGCCCCCTGGTGCCGCCCCCCTGGTGGCAGTTCCTCACCTAGGGACGCTTCCCTTCCTCCTTTCCCCACCTCATGTTAGGGGCCCCCCACCTTTCTAAGCCTGTGGGCACCTTTGGAATCCTGACACAGCATGGTGGGCGCAGTTACAAAATGGCCGCCGTAGGAGGCGGAGCTGGCCACAAAATGGCTGCCGCGGGAGGCAGGGCCAGCCGGAAAATGGCTGCCACAGCTTCACCTTCAGCCCCACAGTGAAGATCCTTGTGCCGTGCTGGGAAGTTGATGTCATAGTAACGTTTAAAGAATCTGCACAATCAGAAGTCCTGCTGGACCGAAGTCCCTCCCGTTCCCACCCACTTTCTAAAAACACTTGCTGGGCACCAGGAAAGGTGTGCTAGAGGGCACAGTGGTGCCCATGGGGACCGTGTCGGGGACCTCTGGTCTACGTATTTATACGCTGACCGTTTTGCAGTCCCGTGGGCTGAAACTTGGGGTCTCCACCAAGGCTCCCTCTACGCTGTGGAGTCCTGTGAGCAAAAATTCTCCATTGTGAGCTGCTAGTATTACAGTTGTGAGTGAGCCCCTTTGGCTGCTGCATAGATTAGTTTGCCCTGGAGCCCTCCTTCCAGAGACACAAATCGGAGCCGGAGGCTAACAAACTGTGAGCTAGCTCACACTAACTCAGCGAAGAGGGAACACTGGTCACATCCCACAGACGGTTTGTTTCGGGGGGGGGAGGGGTCGTTTCCCGTGACACAAAGCCTCTTCCTGCTGCTCAGCACATTGGCGGGAGGGGTGCCCAACCGTGTTCCCTCTAAGCTGAGTGAGTGTGAGCCAGCTCACAGATTTTTTCGCCTCCAGCTCACACATTTTTGTCTCGATTCAGGAAGGAATGGCTCCAGGGCATACTAATTTATGCAGTCCACAAAATACTCGCTCTTTTTGTAGCAGGGACTCCTTTGCATATTAGGCCACACACCCCTAATGTAGCCAATCCTCCAAGAGCTTACAGAGCTCTTCTTACAGGGGCTACTGTAAGCTCTTAGAGGATTGGCTACATTAGGTTTAATGCCAGTAGCTCCCCAAGTAGAATTTTTGCTCACAAGACTCCACAGCTTAGAAGGGAGCACTGGTGCCCAATCTCTTTCTGGATCTGGCACTAGATTTCTGCTTGCAAATGGAACGACGTACGGCCAGGGCACACACCGGGGGGCGGGGGTGTGTGAGGGACACATTCGACTTGCTGCGTCGCCCGGCTGTGCAGGCTGGGCACCTTTGGGAACCCGTGGGAAGCTCTGCTTGCTTAGCCTTTCCAAGACCGTGTTCTTGGGACCCTTACGCAGTCGGGCCAAGCGCACGGCTGAGGCTTTCTTGATAAAGTTGTGGGGGACGGGGTGGGCTCCTTCCCCTCGAGGCCGACGACCTCTCTTCCCCCTGCAGGTCTGGACATGCTAGCGGACACCTCCGCCGCCGAGATGCTGGACTACCAAATACTCCCCTGGCTCTCACTCGACACCCTCCCTTGCTTATCTCTGAAGCCACCCGCCACCCGAGAGCCAGTGCCGCAGCGCCTCACATACCTCAGAAGGCTGCCCCTGTGCCACACACTCGGCCCCATGGTGGCGCGGCAGGACGGTTTTCGTCTCCGGCCGCCAGCGTCCCGGCTGTGGTTGCGGACTCCCGAGTGTCTCAACGTTGTCAGCGGGAACCAATGGGTCGAACGGGGGTCGGAACAGGCAGCTCAAACACCGCCAATGCACCTTGCAGACTTGACGTACCGGAGCCAGACTCGGTCTCCAGCCCCCTCCTCTTTTTATTTATCCGCCAGCTCCTTCCCGTTGTGCCCGCTGCTGAGACGGGAGACCAGTCTCTCCCCTGTACACGCCTCACGTTAACCAGGTACGATTCCTCTGCCACATCAGGTACCGCGAGCCTCTCTGCTCACCGAATCATGTCACGGCGGCCCCCCTCCCCCCGGCATAAAGAGGGGGAGGGGAAGCTCCCCGTTTGTGTTTGTAACGACATTTTCTACTGTTTTTAAAATTGTGATATAGATCTGGACTTCCCCCTCCCGTTCCTTGACAATAAAAACCGGACCATTCTTGTAGGGGTGCGTGAGTTCTTGTCCGGCATCTGTCAGGGGCCATGTGTGTGGGTTGAGCCGCCAAGGTCTTCAAATGTATTCAAGGCTGCAGAGACTGGCACAGAGACAGGAGGGGGACGCAGGCCAGCAGCTGCATGTGGAGGAGTGGGGAATCAAATCTGGGAGAACCGGGTTTGATTTCCCACTTCTCCACGTGCAGCCAGCTGGGTGACCTTTGGCCGGTCACAAGTTCTCTCAAAGCTGTTCTCTCAAGAGCTCTCTCAGCCCCACCTACCTCACAGGGTGTCTGCTGTGGGGAGGGGCAGGGAAAGGAGATTGTAAGGTGCTGTGAGACTCCCAAGTGAAGGGTGGGGTATAAATCCAATCTCCTCCTCTCTCTCTCCTTCATTTTGGTGTAGTAGTTAGGAGCGCGGCCTCTAATCTGGGAGAACCGGGTTTGATTCCCCACTCCTCCTCCACATGCAGCTGCTGGCCTGATCCAACATGGCTTCTCTGATGTTCTTATGTCTGGGGCAGTGATGCTCTGTATACTTGGTGCTTGGGGGGCCACAGTGGGAGGGCTTTTGGAGTTCTGGCTCTGCTGGTGGACCTCCTGATGGCACCTGGGTTTTGGCCACTCTGTGACACAGAGTGTTGAACTGAATGGGCCATTGGCCTGATCCAACAGGGCTTCTCTTATGATCTTATGAAATGGGGATTTTCTGCACACTGGGCAGATGCTCTTACACCGAGCCACAGCCCCTCCTCCCCTGTTGTATGCGTGACCCATGGCTGGTCACTGAGCTTTCATTTTGTGTGTGCGCACGTGTGTATTTTAGCCCCAGATCCTATAGGGTCCAGCCCAGATCCTATAGGGTCCAGATGTCCACCCAGTATGCCACACTGGCCTTCAGTATAACCTATATATGTTTCTCAAGTCTGGTTCCCATCTGTGGATACCTAAATTCGCAGACTGGGGCTATACTTCCCATAACAGATTTTTCTGGCCCATTTGGAGCACACACACCCAAACAGAAACTCCTTTCAAGCAGAAAACCAGCAGCAGAGGGCAAAGGAGAGAGAAAAGAAAGCATTTAACTGCTTACTTGGCTTATGTAGTTTTCTAACTTGCAAGGAGCCTTTTTTCACCTGAAGAGACCCCACCCCCACAAGTGGTGCCCACCTGTGTTAGCCAAACGAGCTTATTGCCTGGTGCGCCAACGCCCACTGATGAACACAGCCAGCAGAAGAAACAAACATTTTATTACAGAACAAGCAAACATTTTATCTCAATAAAGGCGACCTCGGCAGCAAAATCCGAGGACGCCACCCAAACAGCATCAGCCTTAGCTTTTTATACAGTGTAATAAACAACTTCTAGACATGCACCGATGTCCAGAGATTACAGAGTTCACGCTTCCCTATCGCCCACAAAAGTTCCCTAACACCTACAAAATAACTACGTTTGCCAAGCAGATATGTCTTTTGTCCTTACATGGAATGTTCACGCGCCCCTTGAGTTTTGCAAAACAACCTCTCTAAAGACTACTTTTCTTGCATCAGCCACGTTTCTGGAACATCTGGCCTTACCCACTTCATGAGACAAGTACTGTGGACAATCATGACCTTATCAGAGAACAAATGTAAAGAAAACAGTCGTGAGAGTCTGGCCCACAGATCAAGCAGTCAACAAGACTTGCAAAGAAAATACTTTCTATATTTTATGGTGAACAAGCACTACAACACAATAAACAAATTCCTTCAAATCATAAGAAAATCCCAGTGTAAAACTACGTCAACGTCTCCAGATTATAGAACGAATTTTCAAAATTACCCACTTCGTTACATCCTGTTCTGCACAGTAACCGAATTTAACTTGACTCTAGCTGGCCCTGCGCACCACACGGGAAGATAAAGATGGCTTCCGTCTTGCCTCTGACTCTCTGTGCCTGGTTTGTATTAGCAAAGCTTCGTAAAACTGCTTCGCCGTGGGCGGGGCTCCTTCTTTTGAAAACAAGAATTACATATAGACCCTAAGTGTGGAATGCATTGTACAAAGGAAGAAAGTAGGATCAATAATACAATTATTATTATCCCCACTCGCGATACCTTTCTTGACCAGCTTCCAGCATCAGCTATCCAGCCAAATCCACCCAAGGGTCCCATCTTTTCCTACTTGACTGTAGACTTTAACACTTCTTTTAATCTCTTCGATGGCTTTGCTAACATTTCCCTTATTATCGATATTTAAAAAAAAACATTTTTCTCCTACTAATGCACATTTCCCCCTTCCTGAGAAGTCAGAACATCTAACTGTCTTCAGTTTTGTACGACTAGCCGGGATAATGAGGTTAGTGCTTCCTGTTGACCAACCAAGGCATCGATGGTATTATTAAAACTTTCCCCCAATTCTTTTGATATGTTTACAGTGCCTTTCTCCAACTCACTAACTCCCAACCAGGGAAGAAAGGCTCTGGCAAATGCATGATATCCTGAGCTTTGTGTGGCTAATGTCTGGGAAAATAAGGACATCTTCTGTTGAGTGCCATTTTGCATGATTTTAAGTCCATCCAAAGGTTCCGTCTCCCACTTTTCCTCCCCCTTGGCTGGCGTTTCAACAGGATCCGGTGCTCTCTTCACTCGCATGTGGTGGATCCACTGCAGTGTGAATTTGCACTCGGTCCCTTCCAGCCAGGCTTTAATGGCTCAGGTTTCCACATAAACCCAATCTCCGGGTTGATACTGGTGAACAGGAACGTCAAACGGGATGGATTGTCTCACAACTGCATACCTGGAAAGACCGGAGCTCAGGTTTCCACATAAACCCAATCTCCAGGTTGATACTGGTGAACAGGAACTTCAAACGGGATTGATTGTCTCACAACTGCATAAACACGTTTGCAAAGCAATAACACATTCCTTTAACACTGCACCCCCTATTTCAAGAGTTACCCACCCTATTTGCTTTGCCATAGGGAAAGGTCTACCAGACATCAGCTCGAATGGGGACATACCCGAGGTCTGATCTGATTGGTGTGACATAGTCCATCATTTGAATACAGCTGTGTTCAGTTTCAGAGTCGTCCTCCAAGGGAAACAAGGTCACTGGGTTTAGGCGAGCGCACCTCTCAAGTGTCAAATCTCCTCGCCCCAGCAACAGGGCTTCATATTTGGCCAACCGGGAATTCATTGGCCACTGGGGTCTTTTCTGCTCCAGCAAGATGTCCACACTGTGAGGGCAGAGTACACGTAACGGCTGTCCTGAGGTGAACTTCTGAGCCTCTTCCACAGCTATGGCCGTCGCTACCACTGCTCGCACACAGGCCGGCCATCTCTTGGCAACTTTGTCCAATGGCTTGGAGAGGTACGCCACAGGTAGGGGAATGGATCCCGATTTCTGAGTCAGGACGCCTGAAGCTACCCCATCCTGCTCATGGATGTACAATTCAAATGTTTTTGATGGGTCTGGTAGTGCTAACGCAGGAGCCTTCATGATAAGTTCTTTGACCTTCCAAAAGACTTGCTCATCCTCCTGAGTCCTTTGGATGCGATCTGGTTCGTTTTGGGCAGTTTTGGCGTGCAAAGGTTTGGTCAATTGCCCAAATCCCGGGATCCAGATTCGACAAGAACCCGCCTTGCCCAGGAATATCGCCATGTCCTTTTTGGTTTCAGGTCTGGCAACTTGACAAATGGCTTCCTTTCGCTCTGGCGGGATTCCTCGAGATCCACAAGAAATGATCTCACCCAGATACTTCACTTCAGACTTTGCTATCTGTGCCTTTGTTTTTGACACTCGATACCCAGCTCTTCCCAGGAAATTTAAGAGGGATACAGTTGCTTGGGTAATTTGTTTTCGAGTTGCAGCCGTTAACATCAAGTCATCTACATATCGTAGCAGCCCCACTCCCTGTGGGGCCTCCCAGTTCCGCAGGTCTTTAGCGAACTGTCCTTCAAAGATGGCTTGAGAGTAAATAAATCCGTGGGGCAAAACAGTCCAGCGTAACTGCTGCCAATGGCCACTGTCTGGGTCCAGCCACCAAAATGCGAACAAGTTGCGACTCTCTGGCTCAAGCGGTACGCCGTAGACAGCGTTCTTCAGATCAAGGACTGTGAACCATTTATGGTCTCTAGGTATAGTGGTCAAAACAGTGCGTGGATTGGATGCCACAGGAGATATGGACACCACCAAGTCATTGACCGCCCGCAAGTCCTGCACCAGTCTCCACTTTGAAGGGGCCCCAGGAGCGGTCCACTTCTTTACAGCCCTGATGGGAGTGTTATATGGCGACTGACACTCCTCCAGCAACCCATGTTTCTTTAGCTGTTCAATGACCGGCTTCAATCCCTGACTTCTTTCTAGGGAAAGGGGGTATTTTGGCACTCGCACAGGGCGCACCCCATCTTTGAGGCGAATTCGAACGGGGGTAGCATTGTTTGCTCGTCCCGGGAAACCCCCTTCTGCCCACACCACTGGATTTACAGCCTGTAAAACTTCAGGGGGAATCCAGCTTTCCTCTTTTGGCTGACCCCCCTCAAGCGTCACGCGGTTTCTGTCAAAAGAAATAGTCACTTGTAGCTTGTGCAACACATCTCGTCCCAACACAGCAACTGGACATTCTGGAGTCAGCTGATGGATGGCTCTCTGCCCTTGTAATTCAAATTCAATAGGGCTTAGAAAGGTTTGTTCCTTCGGGTTTCCATCAACACCCATTATTACAGTCTTGTCATTCGATTTATCACACCTTACTTTCTGTTCTACCACCTGCGAGTTTCCAATGCCACCTCCAGCAGCCCTTTCCCCCCACCTTTCAGGGCACTCTCTTCTCCAGTGGCCTTTCTGTGTACAAAAGTAACACCTGTCTTTAGGGAAATGGCCTTTCTTCTTTTCTGCCCGAGGGGTGAACCTCCCCTGCCCCCTTAGAACTGACACCATACAGGCTATCTGTCCCTTCATTTGCTCTTCCTCTTCCTTCTCTTTCTCTCTTTCTCTGTTCACGTACGCATTGAA